CAAGCTGAATCCCTGCATTCCATGCCTCCTGCTCTTAAAATCAAATAGGGCTGTCTTTCCTGGGTGTGTCCTGAGCCGGTGTGGGGTTCTAGCAGTGCTGTGGTGGCATGTCCATGGGGCCATTTGTCTGGCTGTTTAGGAGCAATAGAGGCACATGCAAAAGAAGGCACATGCACGTGAAAAGAGACAAAATATGATTATGTAAATGACAATAGCAGTCAACTTTTCCTACTAAAAGCCCATTGTAGGAAAATATTGTCTTTAAAGGAGACTGCAATGGAAAGACCAGCAAAAACAACATCTGGCCATGGCTAGAGATGATAAAACATTAATGTTTACTAGGGACTTGTAGCAGCAAGTATGTACTGTCCACTGAGGCAGTATTGGCTGTATCATCTCTGTTAGATAACACGGTGGCAGCCATTGGGTGTTGGAGGTTGAGGTGAAGGAGCACAGCACATGGGAGCCAGTGATTGCTAAAACTAGCAGTGAGGTGGCCTGCAAGATCAAGAAGCCAACTCTAGTGCATTGAGATATTTCCCTTAGCTCACTTCACTCTGTACATTAGATGTAACCAAAGGCCCAGAGTACAACAGATTCACTGGGGACCACTTTAGGCAGCCTAGAGATTCCTCACACTGTGGCAAGAAATATTCAGTCTACTCCAGGGAACAAGGAACTTGAACTTCCATTTAATCATTCCCTCCCCTGGGCTTAGCATTTATGCTGTCACAAACAGCAACACTCTATGTCCCAATTTGGATCCCACACCATCTGTTCAGAATGGATGCTGGTGATATTTGGTTCTGGGACTAGAACCCCAAGTGATCATAAGGGGCAGGCATGCCAGCCATGTGGGTATTTAATATTATTAATGCTTCTTCAAGGACTCTAATTCTCCTGGCCAAGATGGGATTAGCTTGGCTCATGTTTGCTGCTTTAACACCATACTTTCTCTCCTATATTCCTGTTGCTGGGGGTTTATATGTCAAGTGAGAGGGTCATGATATGGTACAAATTTGAGCCCAATCTTGGGCATCATGTCCCATAAGGTAGGTGCCTTGTTCACTATCAGTACAACAAGCATCCCCATACATCACACTCAATTTTTTAAGACCTTTGATGGTGACAGTTTGGTTGGCTCTCTTGCTAGGAGAGGATTGCAGGAAGCCTGTAGCTCTCACTACACAGGTTAAAGCATAGTTATGTTCCTAGTTGTTTGGCAAAGGCCAATGTAATCAACCTGCCAGTCTCCCACAGAGAAGATTGCTCAGCAAATCCATCCCACTGCACATAGACTAAATGGCAGGCTGGACACATAAGTCCATTTGACATTGAGTCACAGTTGTCACCAAATCATCCTATTTTTAGGGGTAATATTGTCCCCTTAGCTATGTCCAGTCCCAGTTAAGTACTCTGATGTCATCTCTGTTATGTGCTCATGAGATCAGCAGCTTGGGTTGGGTTCAATGCAGAGGTCTTACTGAGACTGGATATGTGATACGTAATTAACGGTGCCTCAGGTCATGTTGGTTCCATGATTGTTGCCACATTATTGCTCCCCAGAGGAGCTTTGCTAGTATGCACCTCTAGGAGCTTTGCTCTAAAGAGATGTGTCTAGTTTCTGCTCCCTTCCTGAGCTGTGACCAAAAAACCTCAAAGGGATCTTTTGTCCTTTTGCTCTTGCCAGAGGGTCTAACTCATACCCGCTGCTGCACTGGTGATACCTGATTGCATTGGCACAATGGATAGAAGGGTGCCTGGGGCCTGTGCCTGTGCTATAAACACCTTTGCTTTTTCAAGTGCTTCCCATTGGGGGACATCTAGCTCTACATGACTCCCATCTTTAATTAATCAATACAGTGGGCACAGGCCCTCAACAAAATGGGGGAGAGACAGCTTGCCAATAACCCAAGATCCCCACAAGGACTGTACATCCTGTACATCTCAGGTGTAGGGAAAGTTTGTACTTTATGGAACAGCATTCCAGGGACTGAATTGGTCTTACCTGACCAGACCACTCAGGAAAACTTCAGGGATAATCCAAAGCTTTGACTCTTTTGGAGAGTGATAGTTCATGCTCTCTGCTGGGAGGCCATCTACCACATCATGTCAGAGAGCATGATTTTGGCCATGAACTTGATGGTGTCAGTATCATGACACCAAGCAGTGCCAATAAGAAACAGGAAGTGTGCGAGATCCTCGGTCACCAGGCGGTGGCAGAGAAGAGGTTTATGCAGATAACTGCTGGGGCAGCACAGGGCAAGTCCACCGTCTGCCCCCTGACCTGAAGTCGAGCTGCTCTCCAGACTCTGTCTGTAAACAGATGCTGAGAGGCATCAGCGAAATCGAAAAAAACATGAAGAGAAGCAAGAAAGGCTGTTGGTTTTTCTAGCGCCTGGGTAATGCTGAAGACAGCAGCATATGTGGCAGGTGCGACCTTGTTAAATTTCTGATAGATTTTAAGTCCTTCTCTGAGTTCCATTAGTCTTATTTCACCAGCCAGAGGCTGCTGCTAGAAATCGAACCCTGGTTATCTCATTTCAGCATGTCCTCCAGGCTGTGGATGTGGCTTTCTATGTACCACTGGCCCAGGGGCAGAGAAACTGGAAGGATCCCATTTTGCCTCTCCCCTCAGCACAGTTTTTGTCACTCTAATTTTAAGCCAACATTTCTTCACAGTTGTTTGCAGTGTCTTCCCCAATAGGATATCCACTCCTAGGACATTTTCTGAGACTGCGACATGAGCACGAGGTATAGTGCAGGGAGCATTGGTGATCTCTAAGCGTAACGATAACTGTTTAACCCTAACCCACACATGACTGCCCAAGATCTGGAAAATGTTCTGGGTTGCCATGGAATAGCGTATGTTTGGTACCTGTATTTACTAGACTAGCTGCTTTTTCTCTGTTTTGGAGGGACCAGTAGAGAGGAGGGTCTGTATGAGGCCTCTGGTCACTTTCTATTGCCCTCATCCTGGGGCATCTTGGACCCGCCCCTAACCTACAGGCTTAGGTGGATCCATCCCTTGTGGTTTGCAGTGCCTGCCAGGGAGCCAGATCAGAAGCAGATCACAGAAGCTAGAAATGCTGATTGGGCTTCCAGTCTTCCTATGGGTCAACTAACATGCATTCGGTTGCTTGAAAAATGTTTCATAGGAAACCCAAGCATCATGGAGATGGTACCATGTTTATTCTCTAATTACTCAGGCTGATCCCTTATTTTTCCCTTTCCCAAGCTTGGTTTGCTCCTCTCTCTTACTGGCCTACCCAGCCACTCCCAGGTCAGTGCCAGATGTCCCAGTACAGACAACAGGGCCCAAGAGAGAGAGGACTGGACTGTTCATTCTTGGACGTTCCTTAGAACTGCTTATTTTTCATGTAAGTGGTAAAAGCTGCCTTTTGGAGCCCTTCAAAACCCTGTGCCCAGATGAGCCACCTGTTCCCAATGCCCGCAGAGTACTTGGGGTGACTTCTGGGCTCCTCTAATTCCAGTCCAAGCCACCATCACCCCAGGCATGGGACAGAAAAGCAGACTCGTAGCCCTGAGCATGTTCCTTTTCAGTCACCTCAGCATCATGAATCTATCGCTGGTGGACCTTGGCCTTGGCCCTCCCTGTGTCTGTTGCTGGCCCAGCAGCACACAACACTTGACCCTGCTGCTGCCTTGCTTACTGCAGCAGGCCAGACCGCCTTCAGCCCACAGCTGCTCCACAAGTCTAGCACACAGGCCTGCTCTGCCACACAGGGGCGCACGGCCAGCCAGGACCACCTCACTGTGCTTCCTTCTCGTTGCTTTGTCTCACTCTCCTGGCAGGCGCACCACTGGTTTCCAACAGCCCAGTGTGTGAGGACCTGCTGCCAAGGTGAAAGGTGGCAGGAGACCCAAGAAAGAGAGCATCATCAAGATTGCACGCATGTAGTGCCTTGGGGGTCTTACGGACAAAAGCATGGTCCCCTGTGCCAGTCAGTAGTAAGGGGTTTATATGCTAAGCTACACAAAGGTAGCCCGTGGCTAAACTGAGTGCACCTGGACTTTCTCAAGACACTTAGCGTCCTAGACATGCAATATGGGAATACCAGGATGCAGCAGGACAAGACAAGCCTGGAAATTTATCTTAATGACTTTGTTTCTCCATGAACTTCGGGATGACCATAAGGGTTACTGAAGGGTAAGATGGAGGTTACATGAAAAATGGCCACAGCCCAATCCCTACAAAAAGCCTTGCTCATCCGTCTTCTAAACTAGTGGTTTTCAACTTAAATATATAATCTCTGGGGAGCTATTAGAAGGGCAGATGCTGGCCAGCAACGCAGCTCACTAGGCTAATCCTCCACCTAGTGGAACTGGCACACTGGGTTCTAGTCCCGGTCGGGGCGCCGGATTCTGTCCCGGTTGCCCCTCTTCCAGGCCAGCTCTCTGCTGTGGCCAGGGAGTGCAGTGGAGGATGGCCCAAGTCCTTGAGCCCTGCACTCCATGGGAGACCAGGATAAGCACCTGGCTCCTGCCATCGGATCAGCGCAGTGCGCCAGCTGCAGCGCGCCAGCCACGGCGGCCATTGCGGGGGTGAATCAACGGCAAAAGGAAGACCTTTCTCACTGTCCACTCTGCCTGTCAAAAAAAAAAAAAAAAAAAGAAGGGCAGATGCTTTGGTCTGTCCAAGGTCAATTATATCATGATGTTGAAGATGCAGGGGTGGGGGAGCTGGTGTGACTGGATAGCAATTGTTTTTTAAGTACTGCAAGTGGTTTATAATATAGAGTGGGACTTGATAGCCACTGCAGCAGCCTGAGATAACCTGAGACCAGGACTGTGCAGTGCTGTGTTGTGATTTTCATGATCTCACCAGGGTCCCTGGATCAGTGGTTCTGTGGGGATTTGCTAAATGACCAGGAGACCGCATATCTGGTATTTCTCTTGCCCATGCCCTCATCGTGAATGGCATGAAGCCGGATCTGGTTCCAGATTTAGTCATGTTGGTCTTCATTTTCTTAGCACAGGTGCAGCAGTGAACAGCAGTGAGAGTCTCCATCCATCCTCGTCTGTCAACGACATCTCCTCCATGTCCACCGACCAGACCCTGGCGTCTGACACTGACAGCAGCCTGGAAGCCTCGGCAGGACCCCTGGGTTGTTGCAGGTGACTAGCCGCCTGCCTGCGAAACCCAGCGTTCTTCAGGAGATGATGTGATGGAACACACACACGCGCGCACACACACACACACACGTACACATGTACACACACAGACACGCAACATCAGAAAACAGCAAGGGAGAGAATCCAAGCCTAAAATTCAAACCAATCTTTCAGCCTGCTTCTTCTCCAGAGTTCTCTACTGCAGCTAAGCTCAAATGTATCTTTATCTTCTAGTTGCTCTTGCTTTGGTCTTCTTCCAATGATGCTTACTACAGAAAGCAAATCAAACACAATTAGAGAAGCCTTTTCCATAAAGTATAATTTTAATGGCTGCAAAACCAGCGACCTGTAACTGCCCTTTCAAATGGCATGACAAGGTGTGCAGTGGCCCCGTCCAGCATGTGTGTGTCTCTATCTTGCATCTACCTGCTCCTTTTGGCCTAGTCAGATGGATGTAGATACAGATCCGCATGTGTCTGTATTCACGCAGCACTACTGAATTAGACATGCTACTGTCAGTGTCCCCAGGGCTCTCCAAGACATCATGCACTGGGGCACCACATGGTCCATTTCACGTGATCTATTACTCTGACGTAAACCCATCTGTAATATATTGCCAGAATATAAGCTGTTTAGTTTGTTAATTGATTAAGCTGTATGTCTTATAAGAAAACATGTAAAGGGGGAAACTCTTGGGGGAGTGAGTTCTCAGACCCTTGAAGATGTAGCTTCCAAATCTGAACTGATTAAATGGCACCTGTATACCACTTTGTAGAAGGAACATATGTGATGCTTATGTACAGGGTTGGGGGAGGGGAGGGGTAACAGTTTTCAAGTTCCAAATGGTTTGGCCTTTGGAAAACAAGGTGTGAATAGAAGCTGAGGGCCTGGCAGTGAGCAGGTAGGAGAGACTAGAGAGTAGGGTTACTTTGGAAATAAGGAGGAAAGAACATTTTTGCCTAGACACCAGGAAGCACCAATGTTCGTACTTCAAAAAGAGACCCTATTTGGCATTTCCAAATTCTGTATGAGAGTAGTAGGCTGCTGGAGAGAGTGGCAGGCTCTGAGGCAGGGTTCTTGTGTGCACACTTGATGTTAGGAAACCTTTCCTGGAACACGTGCTATCCTGAACAGAAAAGCAGTCTGCCTAGAATCCGCTCAGACTGTAACTTGTGTTTTCCACGCGTGGGCTGCTTTCCACATTTCATACCCTGCCAAGATTTTGTTTTGAGATCAATCACTACTGTCTTCTTCTGGGATTTAAAAACAATTAATTAAAATAAAACCCCCAAAGCCCAGAGTGATCCTCAGGTTAGTCAGGAAAAACACTCACGGACATTATCATTTCTCAGGGGTTCCCCTGACTCCTTAATATGGCTGATGTCTCATGTTTCTTCATTTTCAGAAATTTGAACAATCCAAGAAGGGCTGATCATCTGAATTTTGTGCTGCAGTCAATGTGAGAGCAATAACTCTGCCCATAAGTTACTGCTGCTGAATAGTATTAGCAATATGAGTTTGTCTTAAAAGCCATGAAGCATTAATGCCAATGTTTTGCAGAATTCCCTGAATTCAGCTTGATGAACGTACTTTCCCGAGCACTGCAGGAGGCACTGTGAAACATCTTGGTTATATACAAGACAACCCCAGGGTGACTTCTCAGCAATAATAGGTAGCATGCATGGGCTTCCCTTCTTCTTCACTTTGGTGAAGTATTCATCACGGTTAATCCCACTCTGACCGCTTTGGTGCTGCCCAATGTGGTGATATTTCACCTGAAGAAGAAGTGAAATGCATGAGATGGATGGCTGATGAGTGTAATTTGACTGGCAAAGGGAATCCTCTCCATAAGAGAGCAAACAAGAATGCCAGTGCTCTGAAAACTGCCTTAAATCCAACAGAGGGAAGCTCTGCCTCTTTTTAAGCAATAGAGTCTCTGCAGCCAGCCTCACCATCACCAAGGGAGTGTTGCTGCCATTTGCAAGGTTGTTTCACATAGTAGAGTGCATTATGAGAGGCAATTCGCTTAGGATGCAGAGGAAAACATTCCATTGTGCAGTTTGTCCCCTGGAATACAAGTGTCCAGTTTCTTCTCTCGCTACCATTGTCTTTGGTTGATGTTTCGGACAACCTGATTTCTAAAAATGCCTCCTCACTCACACAAACTCTCTCTTTTCTTTCTCTCACATCCTTGTTTCTTTTCCTCTTCTCTGTGTCCCTTATTCTTATCCCATTTCTCTGTGCTTTTCTCTTGATTTACCTGTGGCCTCTCCAGTACCCTTATTTCCACCAGAAGGTATTAAGTGCATAGCAGGCAGCTCCTTGAAAGAAAGTGAATCACAAGGGGGAATTTCATTCACCACAAGATGACAGTACAAGACAAAAGGAACTCTTCAGCCAGCATCTTAGAGGTGCCTGACAGCTAGACTCTCTTGTCTGAAAGGTATTGATTTTTAACTGAGATTATACCTGTACGAACTAGACAATACTGATCTCCTGCCATTGCTGTCTGCCCTAAACTCACTTGGTCCTTTATCTCCTAGTTTAAGGCTCTTGGGAGTTGGTTATCTTCAGCCAGATCTCCCATAGGGAAAAGAAAAACATATGGAAAAAAATCCCTTGGATTTACATTCCATTTGGAAAATAGAGATAAGGGTTTAGCCTCTGATCTTCTCACAGGATTAATTTTGCTAGGGAATCAAAGCAAGATGGATTATGCGACAACAAAGAAAAATCACAATTTTAAGAGCCCTCAGTGTTTCATGATCTGGGTCCACTTTGTTATATGTTTAGGAGATGCTTATGTCATTATCAAATTTACAAAATATATTCTGCATTGAGTCTTCTTTTAAAATACACACACATGTACCAATATTGCCTGGGAAGTGTCAGGTCACCTGGACCATATTCCTGGAAATAGTGAAGGGTCTGCCTGTGGTTGGGTCCATTTTGGAACATGAAGTTGGCACCCTGAGGAGCCTGACTTCTGTCATACCCTGTAAGGTGATTGGTTTTGCAGCGATCAATAATAAAACATTGTGTAGTATTATGTAGGAGGCATGATTGTGTACCCATGTGCAGGAGAATTCAATTGGTGTGAGTTTGACAAAACCACCACCACTTTAGCTATGTTTTTTGTTATTTTTACATGTGTTTTCTGGGTCAGTATGCTCATTTTTTAAAAAGGATATACCGGCCTTATAACAAAATTCCTTTTATGCAATAAAAACTGATAATAATCTTCCATCTTCAAGAATCTGATGATTGAACTTTGAAGGAATGTACCCCATAGCTGGCTCTGCCAACTCCCACCAGTTGGAGTATGCTATTTAGTTGAGGGTCAAAGAGATGGACAATTTTTCTCAATCCATTACCAGTTTTAGAAAAATATTATATAAAGATAATGTTAAAGAGCTGACCAGCAAATTAGAAAATTGACATTGGCAAATGGAATAAGTAGACTAGATCAGACTATATAAGTTCTTTAATGACCTATCAGGGGAGAAAAATAAGCAAAACAAATGTGTTCAATTTAAAAAATATTCATTACAAAAATCTTCAAAAATTTTTTTCTATTGGACTCTTAACATATGACAGTCCACATCTTACAAATCTGTGCTCTGTAAAAGATTTCTCAACCAGCTTTGCCAGAAAATGTATCTTCTATAGCTCAAAGAACAGAGTAAAGTAGCTCAAGGAATTTTTGATCCCCGCCACTTTGGGTCTGAAGGGGCATCCCACTCCCCACTTGCAAACACATTTTAACTGTGTAATCCAATCTTTTCCACAGATGTCAATAAACCAAGGTAGGAAACTCCTTTCTTTAGGGAAAAAAAAAAATCCAAAAGGTTACAATGTAAATAGCTATATTAGTTATTTTCCTTGTGATTAAAATATCTCATTATTTCTTTTGGCATTTAGACAGTTCTTTAACTGTCTGAAAATTGTTTACTTTGACCCATTTCTTTGGTTAGTCAAACTGAAGTGGAAGGCTTCTGTTGATGTATGTACTCCTGTGTATCTAACTTTTACTCATGTGGGACGAATGGCCAGTATACTCCAATGCAAATCTATCTCCCAACCCTTATCCAGCATTATCTGTTCACCTTGCCATGTCCATCTTGCAATGAGACCTAACCTGCACTTGCCTGTTTTTCTGCATGATTGGACTCCAAAGACTATTTCAATGATGAGAATCGTCCTGTGTCCGTGTTTATATAAAATGGACTTAAAGCAAACACACATGCACAGATTCACACACACCCTTACGGCTCTAGATCAGCCCTAGAAGGGAAAACCATTGTATGTCCAAATTCTTTGCAAGGTCTCAGTGGTAAGAATTAAAGTCAGTCAGCCAGATGGGTAAAACACAATCTCAGTGATGTCTGTAAAGATTCGAAATCACGCAAATAATACCTGTGTTCTTGCTCACTCTCCTTCATTTCTATATTGACCATTATTTTCAAAATGTCTCTGGAACAAGAGGATGAACTGGGGGAGAACTTGGACTTTCGTTGGCTCTTTGTAGGTGGATGCTGAGTCAATATGTTGTGATTTCTGTTGCTATGAATTATTAAACCGAGGAAACCTGCTTCCCTTGACGTAAAACCAAATCCAAGCTCAGACTTTGTTGCAGTTTGCTTGTTGACCACGGCTGTTGTGCTGCTCTTTACCTTGGGTTTTATGTGCTCGCAGGAGCTCTGAAGGGTCTCACCTGATCTCATTTTGACACCTGGTGAAAGAAACGTGTAGTATGGTCTGATTGTGCCAGGGAATAAATAAGAAATAAGAAACGACCTACTCTCGCACTATGGGTCAAGAGTGTGTGGTATGACTGTGACCGTGTAGAGTGCTGTGCTTTGAGACTGATTTTTCTAAAGAGATCTGCATTTCTATCTGCAGATACAAACTGCATATCTGCAATTCGGTAAATTTTCTTTGTGGTGTAAAATCAATGAAGGAAAAAAGTGTTTTCTGGGACCATCAGGTAAGTAGAACAGGCTTACATTTCCTGGGTTTCTTAAGTGGATTCCTATACATTTTGATTGCTTATTCACGAAAACAGGCAAAAGCTTCATTTTTGGCCTACATGGTAGCCAACCTTAATAGCGCAAGCTCTTTGGTGAAATAAAAACATATGACTTGTAGCTTGAGGAGGGTTATTGAAGTTAGCTTACCTGATAGTATCTGGACAAATTTTAGAAGTGAACCTTTTATTTCTGTAAGTAGCATATTTTATTTAACCAAACAACTATTAGAAAACCTGGAAGAATCATCACCGTTATCATACTTATCCTTGTATTTGTTTAAGGAAAATAGAAACTGACAGCATTTTAAACAATCTCAAACACTGCTTCTGTTCTAATTTAAATCACAGATCATCACTTTCCAGAAAATGGAAGTCTGTGAATGGTCAAGTGCAGATACTTACAAATACCCACAGTAGTAAGAAGGGAAATTGCTCATGGAGAGACTCCGAGGAGTTTATTGGTGCCTTTGGGATACCATGAGGGGTTACTAAATATTTAGTAATTTTGACAAAACTTGCAGTGAGAAGAAGAAAAGGGTCTTGGTAATTCTTTTTTTTTCTTTTTTAAAAAGTATTACTTTTTTTTGTTTTACAGATTTATTTTATTTGAAAGGCAGGGTTACAGAAAGAGAGAGAGGTAGAAGTAAAGACAGACAGACACACATACACACACACACACACACACATACAGAGGAGCAGTGGGGAGACAGATCTTTCATCTCCTGGTTCACTCCTAAATGTGCATAACAGCTAGGGCTGGACAAGGCTGAAGCCATGAGCCAGGAACTCCATCTGAGTCTCCCACATGGGTGACAAGGGCCAAAGCACTTAGCTCATCCTCCGTTGCTTTCCCAGGCATATTAGCAGGCAGCTGGATCAGAAGTGGAGCACCTGGGGACTCAGACTGGTGCTCATAATCGATGCCTGCCTCACAGACAGTGGCTTAAGCTGCTGGACCCCAATTCCATTCCCGGGTAATTATTTTCTTGAAGCTACTTATGGGACAGCTAACCTTGCAGGATGAGTCTACTTGCTGAGTAATAGCACTAGGTGTCAGCCAACATCACAGTTTTTGATGTTACCAATTTGTACCATGGTGTCCATGCCCTTTCTCTGAGGGACTTGAAAGGCATGCTTGGAAGAGACATGCAAAGAGCAAGACACATGGAAAACTTCCACTGCCCCAGATCACCGCATGTAGGGAACCACTGTTTGTGGAAAGTCACCTGTCTCAGGTGATGTCACCTGCTCAACCAGTTAGATGGGTGTGTTCTGTTTAAATCACGCAAAGCACGCTGTAGAAATTTATGTTTCTCAAGCACACGACATGTGATGACATAGAAACAAGTCAAACAACCCTTTGCGATTTCCCACCCAGTCTACATCAAATGTTTCTTGCTTTAAAGACATGATTATCCTGGTAAGAAACCTAATGTAAAAGAGGTCTAAAGTGGAACTTTAGAGGATTCAAGTTTCACTCAATGGATCGGGTGGATTCACTTCCTCATCACCAAGCTTCTGTTATTGCCTTTCACCTGACCTTGTCTGTGGTCTCTCTGTTCACTCAATGGTCCAGAACACTTGTGACTCAAAAGTAAGTACAAAATGTTATTCACCTTCGAAGTCTTCCACACTCTGTCTAGAAGACTGATACCATTTGCCTTCCATTAGCACTTTTTATAAAAGATTTATTTAAAAGGCAGAGTTACAGAAAGGGACACAACTTCCATCTGCTGGTTCACTCTCCAAGTGGCTGCAAATGCCAGGGCTGGCTCAGACTGAACCTCTAAGCCAAGAGTTGCATCTGGGTCTCCTACATGAGTGCTTGGGCCATTTTCCACAGCTTTCCCAGGTGTGTTAGCAGGGAGCTGGATAGGAAGTGGAGCAGCTGGAACTCCATAAGGAGCGTGGCCATTGTAGACAGTGGCTTAACCTGCTGTATCACAATGCTGGCTATATCCACTATCATCTTTTTTTTTTTTTTTAAGAGGTAGAGTTACAGAGAGAGGGAGAGCAAGAGAAAGAGGCCTTCCATTCCACTGGTTTACACTCCAATTGGCTGCAAAGGCCAGAGCTGGGCCGATCCAAAGCCAGGAGCCAGGAGCTTCTTCCAGGTCTCCCACACAGGTGCAGGGACCCAAGGACTTGGGCCATCTTCCACTGCTTTCCCAGGCCATAGCAGAGATCTGGATCAGAAGAGGAGCTACCAGGACATAAACTGGCCTCCATATGGGATGCTGGTGCCACAGGTGGAGGTTTAACCTATTGTACCACAGTACCAATCCCTCCATTAACACTTTTAAATCCATGTTGGTGAAAATATTGTCCGTGATCAATTAATTATACACAAGTTAAATTTTGCAATGCAAATGATATTTTACACAGACCAAGAAGAAAGCAAAAAATGTTAATAGCTCTTTTATAAAATATTTTTATTATTTCCTAGCTTTTAAAATAATGCATGTAACTTAGTGATGAACTTGAATGACTCCAACCTGAATTCCAGAGGGTACCGAACATGTTCAAACCATGGAGGTCACATTGGCGTGGCCCATAATTCATCTGTGCAATCAGGAAGAGGTAGAAGATGGGTGTACTGAAGAGAGAGAGCTGAGATGGGTGTGGTGTTTTCACAGGAATGGGTGGGATGCTCAGCACCTCTCTTGGAGGGAAGAGACGGTTTCCCGCAGGAAAAAAAAAGAAAACACTGCTTTGGCTTCCTATTCTAGCAGATCAGCTTTCTGCCATTACTCTTGTTCTCCACTTAATAAAGGTAATCTTCACCATATGGGACTTACAGGTAGCAGCTATGCATAATTCATAAATAAAGCAGGTCGTTCAGCCTTGTACCTGAGCCATGATGGTGATTTCCAAAACACACTTTTCATCAGCTGAACCCCTACTCACAGACTTTCAGTATGGAGAGAAGATTCTGGCTGCCTGGGGAACTGTTAGTTTTCCAAGTCTCTTCGCAGCCAGAGGCCCTTAAACTGGGCAGTTCTAGCTTTCAATTCATCCCCCACGTGTGCAATTAAGAAGACTATAAAGAGAATCATGAAACAGATCTGCGGGAACCGCAGCTCCAGTACTCCTTCCTGTGGTTTGTGACTTCAAACAAGGCGGAATGTGTCTAGCTCTGGCTGGCTTCTGGGAGGGAGAACAGCTGCCCAGCTTAAGTGTGTTTTGGGGTTGCATGGTGTGCTGATGAGGCGTGATTACACACAGCGCAATCTTGACGGCACAGACTTGCCAGGTCATTTAAAATTCATTGAAAAGGTTCCCTGGGTTCTGCACTGAGGACCCCATTGCACATTCTGCTCCACGAGCTAGGCAGGCTGCAGCCCCAGACTGCCACCCTGTTTGAGGACTTGCTACTTCTTCAGGACTCGCATCAAAACATGGCTCAGTAATTCCTTGCCCAGCTTCAGCTTCACGATCCCTTAATTACTTTTAAAGTATATCATAGACGGGATCATTATAGACCAGGTGTCTCGGGGCACAGCCTTAAACACTTTCACCTATTGTACCCAACGCCTTTAACTTCCAGTATCATCTTCAGCGTGCTAATGACAGACCTGATAAATAGTAGGTACAGGGACGTTCTTTAAGATAATGCACATGGTTGTATTATAGCAGGAGGAATGCCCTTGCACAGGGACATAATGATAGCTCCACTTGTGGGCAGGACACGCTGTTTTACTGCTGGTCACATTCCTGAGGTTACAACCCTGCTGTACCCTGTAGAGGCTGGAATATCCTTCCAATAGCAGGAATTTCAGGGTGGACAGCTACCATGTATTAAGCACATGCTATGTGTTAAGCAGCATGGATAGCACTTCAATTATTCCTCACAGACATAGGATAAAGAGGGCACTGTTATTATCCTTAGTTTAAGAAGAACAAATTCAGGGTTGTGGGCATAAGGTGCAGCGGTGAAGATACCGGTTGGGACATCTGCCTTCCATACGAGAGGGCCTCGGCTGGCGTCCCCACTTGTCACAGCTAGTCACAGCGTCCTGCTAGTGAGAGGACAGAGGACCCTGAGAGGCAGCGGGCCATGGCTCGAGTAGTGGGTTCCTGCCATCCGAGTGACCCAGGTGGAGTTCCAGGGTCTCAGCTTCTGTGTGGCCCAGCCCTGGCTGCTGCAGGCATTAGGGGAATAAACCAGCAGATAGAATCTTTCTCTCTCTGTCTCTCTGGCTTCAAATAAAAACAACAAATAAATAAAAAAGCTAAAAAAAAATCAGGCTTATAAACATTCACAGTGTGTGTTAAGTCCACATAGCTACGACGTGGCGGAAGTGGGGTTGAACGTGGTTGTCTGATTCTGAAAGGTCGTGCGTGGTCTTCTCTGTGAGGCTGCTGTAATCAGGGTGCGGGACTGCAGTGACTGGATCACATTGTTCAGTACTCACCCAGATGTTCAAGGCAACCAAATTAGATCTGCAATATAAACTATCTCCCCTGGGAATTATCTAGTGTTTTAAGGAGATCCCATCTTATGAATAAATAAATAGGAATCACTTTAGTTACAGCTAGAGATTTTAGTATCTCGTAATATGTATATATATTTATATGAATTCATGTTTCAGTTGGCCTGATGTTATAGACAATTATAATTTAAATGTTCCACAAAGGACAACCAGCCAAATAGTCTGACTAGTGAGGCTGACATGGTAGGCCCAACACCTGGAAGCAGATCCTTTCTCTGGAGTTTGTATTTTTTTTTATAAAAAGATTTATTTATTTATTTGAGAGGTTTATTTACAGAGAGGCAGAGAGAGAGAGAGAGAGAGAGAGAGAGAAAGTCTTCCATCCACTGGTTCACTCCCCAAATGCCTGGAATAGCTGGAGCTGTGCCGATCTGATGCCAGAAGCCAGGATCTTCTTCCGGGTCTCCCACATGCCCAAGGATTTGGGCCATCTTCCACTGCTTTCCCAGGCCACAGCAGAGAGCTGGATAGGAAGTGGAGCAACTGGGTCTTGAACCGGTGCCCATATGGGATGCCATCACTGCAGGTGGTGGCTTTACCTGCTACGCAACAGCACCAGACCCCTGAGTTTGCTTTTCAATAATTAATTACTTAGTTTTAAATAAATATATATAGGATAAAGTAAGTAAATGCTCAAAACTGCCTACTTTTTATCCTTACTAATTTCCAATTTATTCTCTTATCAATTTGCAGTTGATAGTTTCCAAGCTTTCAGTTGAACTAATGAAAACCCAGATGGACATGATATCCACTGATCAGGGAGTATCACCATTGAGAGTGACAATTAAAATGAACAAACAGAATCTCTCATGAATCAAAGGCTGAATAACAGGGAAATAATTACATGTTCTCATCCAAAACAAATGCTAATTCTAGGAGCTGTTACTTTACTTGGCATAAGAAGTAGTGGAGGAGGGATTTAAGATCAATAAAATATAATCATGGCCCTTAAGAAGCTCCATTTATTAATAGAGCTATCCGTGTAGCTAAACTGGCAGACACCGGACGAGGCACAGTACATGCCTCTTCTTTTATTTTTTAAATTTATGTATTTGAAAGTAACAGGGAGAGATGGAGAAGGGTCTTCCATCTGTTGGCTAACTCTCCATATGGCTGCTGTGGTTGGAGCTGGGCCAGACTGAGGTCAAGAGCCAGGAACTCCGTCTGGGTCTCCCACCTGGTGGCAGGGTCCAAGCACTTGAGTTATCTGCCTCTGCTTTCCCAGGAGCATTAGCAAGGGGCTGCATCAGAAGTGGAGGACCCAAGACTTGAACTGGCATTCACACAAGTAGCGGCTTCACCTGCTGACCACAACACTGGCCCCTGTGTGCTATCTCCAAGCGCGACAACCTCCCTACTTTGGGAGAATTATTACTTTCACTTTAAAAGAGAAAATAGTGCACCTGCTGCACTGCACACAGGGTTAAAGGACTTGTCATTGCCAAGCAGCATGCATAAGGCGCGCTGTGATGCCTAGCTGGGTCTGAATGGCTCTCAGATTCCTGCTATTTCCACTCCTCCAGGCTGCCTCCCCAAATGCTACTTCATCGGAAGTTTCTTGGAGAACAGTTAGTTGTTTTACACGATGCCTGGGTGTGCCAGAGAAAAGGCAGGCAGGCAGGAAGAGTACCATAGTCAGCAGGAAGTAATAGAAGCATGGGATGGCATGGCAGGTGTTGTGGGAAGTAGTATTGGGTAAAAATGAAATTGGGGGTCACAGCCTTTTGTGCCACGTGAAGAGCTTTATCCTGGGCAAGTGAGCATCATGACGTTAGCGAGGCCAAGATACGGCAGATGGTGACCTAGGAAAGGAAACCTGCAAAGGGTGAAAGCAGAGGAGAAAGGCTGGGACAAAACCGAATAGGTCAACGCTTTCATCAAAAGGCAAGAGGATCTAGGTTAAAAGGAGCAGATTAAAAGGCAAAGACAGGTGGAAGAGCTTGCTTGGCAAGTGAATTTAAGAGTGACCCAAAGGGCAGAGTAGAGAAAAAGAGAGTGAACACTCACAAGTCCTCCTTGTGTACTAGCTACTGCGCTCAGCCTAACAAACTATCTCATTAAAACGACATAACAAGTCAACAGAAGTAGCGCTTTTATTCTTCCAATCACACAGAGGAAAAGAGTTTTGCCCGGAAGGTTCAGGAACAACTGTCGAATTATAGATAACCTGAGCGCAGGCAGTAGTCTGCACAACATTTGATCTTTTTTTTTTTTTTAAAGATTTTATTTATTTATTTGAGAGGCAGAATTACAGACAGAAAGATCTTCTATTGACTGGTTCACTCCCCAGATAGCCACAACAGCTGGGCTGATCTGAAGCCAGGAGCCAGGAGCTGCTTCTGGGTCTCCCATATGGTGCAGGGGCCCAAACACTTGGGCCAACTTCCACTGCTTTCCCAGGCCATTAGCAGAGAGCTGGATTGGAAGTGAAGCAGCTGGGTCTCGAGTTGGCACCCATATGGGATGTCAACGCTGCAGGTGGAGGCTTAGCCTACTCCGCCACAGCACTGGCCCTATAACCTTTGCTTTTTAACCACGATATCATGACTGAGATTTTCATGAACTAAAATAGGGGCTGGAAAAAGCGAAGGGAAAGTTACTGAAATCAATTTTACATATTCTGATTTTGAATTTCTTCGGGGATATCCAGGTGGAAGTATATGACTAAGTAATCGTAACGACAGAATAGGGAACCAAAGATAAAGAAGTTACTGCTGTGTAGACACTGGTTAATGCCAGAGGACCACGCAGCAGAGGGTCTAAACAAAAGCGGGGCACTGGTGAGGAGAAGTAGTGTCAGGATCACTCTCCCCATTGACAATCTACACACACACACACACACACACATGATCTCCAAACAACGCAGAGCCCGTAAACTCAAGTAGCCTTTATTTCCGATTAAACCTTTTGTGACCTTTTGTTCTGCTGTGAGATTTATGTACTTGGCTTCTCAAAATCATTGCCTTATTGAAGTGTGAGGAATCATTCTAGCAAAAACTCCACCTCCAGAGAGCCTGGGTATTTCTAGAAACTTGGCATTACTGATGTCCACCATAGTGTCAACGTTGGACTTTCAACCATTCACATTTTACAATTATCATGAGTGAACATGTTTTTAACACATAAAATGGCATTGTTAAAATCAAAGCAGAAAAATTTAATTTTCCTCCTCCTCCTGGTGCCCTGCCCTACCTCGTCACCTTGCTGCAAGCTGCCAGCCTGTGGTACAGAGAGAATCCCACATGACATTGGCCTGCGTGGGAGAAAAATGTTGCTAAATGGTACCTACTAGAGCACGCTCATGAAGAGGACCTCAGCAATGCTACAGTACTGCTGGCCTTGCCAAGAGCAACTGCTGGGGACAGGGGAGAGGTTTGGGTGAGGGAAGGACTGCACACAGGCATTGTTGATTTGGCAAGCATTGTTTCCCAACGTTCAACAGGCAGGCAGAATTCACCTTCTAACCATCCAGCAGTTAGAGAGTCCAGAAGGCCATGGTCAAGTGCCATCCGTCACCTGTCTCCCCTGTATGCTGCATCCTGCTTAGGAAATGCTCTTTAGATCTGGTAAGGCAGACGGGGGCTTGGGAAGGGGATGTTCTTACACACTCTCTGAGTGCCTGTGTCAAGTCACGTCACAAAGCCAAATGGAGTGGTGTGAGGGCAGAGTTTAAAGAGCATTTCCAAGGTCCCTGCTGATCCGACTGTAGTTTATAAAACTATTTACATTTCTCTTTTTGGTCATGGCAAGGTCTATTGGCGCAAACAACACGGCCACCAAGTATTCTTTTGATTTTAATAACTCATATATCTTTATATATATTTATATTTCTGCTTATCTTCATTTCCTCAGCAAAAGGGGAAATAAAAATAGTGATCTATAAAATAAGCGGATGATAACACAATGCCAAAAATAGCTTATGTTAAGTGCAAGGGGTGAAGCTTGAAAGCAAGCTAAATCGCAACAACATATTGATTCAACATTTTAAATACAAGACTTGCAATAAAATAATTCTTGAGATATGCTTCTCATTTTTAGTTTACTTTTAAAAACTACTCTATATACACATATCCAGTTGTAACACTTGACAGTAGCATTATGAGGCATGGTATAACTTTGGTACACATTGCAGATATGGATGGTTAATGTCTGTAATAAATGATACGTCTTCCCCAGTTAGTGCTCTGTACAGCCAGGTGACCAGCCACCTGGTCCCACATACGATCTCCCAAGACTCCCCACGTCCTTCCCAGAGCCATCGGAGACGGCGGGAGAAAGCAGGCTTACTGGATCCATATCGTGTTTCCTCGCTCCGTTCTCCTGGGTTCCACTGTCAGCTCCCCAAATGTGGAAAAGAACTGCTCCATTTCTTTCTGCAGCATGTCATTTCTTTTCTCGGCATCTTCTTTGGCTCGCTCGGCATTGCGCATTTTGATTTCTATCATCGTGAACTTTTTCCTTTCCTGATCCAGTTCATCGTGCAGACTCATCATTTCCGTTTCCAAAGTTAAATTCCGCTGCTCTAAGCTATAAAGGTTGGGGGAAGGTGGAGGGAAAGAACAAATAATTTTATTCATTTGAATGCAAGAGGGATACAAATGTTTTCTTTAAACTCTGACTCTACATTGCTTAGGATATTGGAATGAGCCCTATCAAATCAATGATGCTAGGTCCAATGGCTAAAAATACTTAATTTTGTAATTTTACAGTTGACTTGCATGATTGATGAATTTTTGTTAGAGGTCCTGAGACTTCTCTTGGAAGCGATTCATTATCATCTGATAGTAAGTGAACGAATATCAGCATAGAGAAACCAAGCACACAGCATCCAAGGGGCAGCAGTGGGAGACAACCCGACCCAGAAAGCTTGCTGGACGTTAAACAGTGATCTTGGCTTTACTAATGTTGGAAGAAAGAGTAGGAAATCATATTTGGTTTCCAGCAAAGGAAAAATATTGATGATAATAATAATAATAATGCCATTGTTAGATTAAGCCCACTGCCAAGAAGGCAACTTTTCTGGTGCACACCAAGCTCTTTCAGAATCCAAAGCAGTCAGTGTACGTGGACAAGACAGGCAGAGTGTACATGTGTTACAGGAGCACCTGGTACTTCATAAAAACAGCGCACATACAAATAACCCGCTACTCTCAAGTTGTACTCCCTTCCATGATATTAATGCATTTTAGGATATCCATATTTTATATCTCTATCAATTGTTAGCTGTATTCTTTCAGGTAATTGTAGAATTATAGGTAAACTCTTTAAAAACAGAGACTGTATTTTCTTCATAATCAACAGGATCCAAAACATATAAATATGAAGGTACTTCCAAATGTTTGTGGAAAATGGAATTTAAACGTAAGTTTATGTTGAGAAAAAAATTCTGAAATCCAGGCACACACAAGATCTTCAACCAGTTCAGGACAAATGTACATCATGAAAAACTGTCCATGGATTTCAAATTTTTACACCAAAATGAAGTTATCTTTAGTGCCATTTTTCTACAAATGTTTTGAAGTACCCTCACATTCCTGTAGCAGATACACACACACACACTTTTGTGTTCAAACGTTTGCTCAAAAGTAGTAAGCACTTGTTCATTATAAGATTTATACTAGTACTAGCTGCCTTTTCTCATTTCTTTCTCCTGAGTTAAAGGTCCAAGGGACTCAATTGTGTTTACCTACTACTGAAATTTAAAAGGCCAATATTCATGTGGCTCCCAGAAATCACATTTTTTTAGTAATTAAAAAAATTTAAATTTCAATTTTTTTTTCTATTTTGAAAAAAAGTGAGCCACACATATTGACATTTCATCCAGATACTAAGAATACCTGTTTAAGCAAGTAGAATTTTTAAAAAAAATAATATTTCCTATTTTGTAATCCTACATAGTTTGGAAGGCCATTTTAAACAAATGATCACTATTTTTTTTTCTTGACAGACAGAGTGGACAGTGAAAGAGAGAGACAGAGAGAAAGGTCTTCCTTTTGCCATTGGTTCACTCTCCAATGGCCGCCACGGCCGGCACACCACGCTGATCCGATGGCAGGAGCCAGGTGCTTCTCCTGGTCTCCTAGGGGGTGCAGGGCCCAGGTACTTGGGCCATCCTCCACTGCACTCCCTAGCCACAGCAGAGAGCTGGCCTGGAAGAGGGGCAACCGGGACAGAATCCAGCGCCCCGACCTGGACTAGAACCCGGGGTGCTGGCACCGCAAGGCGGAGGATTAGCCTAGTGAGCCATGGTGCCAGCCTGATCACATTTTTATATAAGAATTTGGTACTATGTGCTTGTTGCCCCTCAGAATTATTCTACAACTTATTTTCTTTGCTTTCTAAATTTATTTTAGATTTAAAATTGCTGGAAGAAATCGAAGTTTATTACTAAGAAAAACAACTTCTACAAAAGAGTATCTTGATAAATCTGTACACTTGCATGAAACATGCAGGAATTCAAAGGACTGAGTTGAGATTAGAAACAATGCCTCCCAATACAAGCAAACAAAAAGGATAGAAAAACACATAAGGAAATATTTTTAAAATACATAGGGTGAAAAAACATCTTTAGATCTCAGAGCTAAGGAAGAAACTTAAGTGTCGACCAGAAAGTGGATGCACACAAGGCATACAGCCCTTGCAAGGAGACCCTGGGGGCAGGAGCTGGCTGTTTCTGTTGTTGTTCTGTTCTGTTATGCTTTCAAATGGCAACAGGAGGGGAGCCACCAATGGGAGAGGCAGAAAGTGATTCCAATGAGAAGTTAGAACGTCAACTGTCTTCAAAAAAGAGACTGCTGAAAGTCTCCTCATGAACTTGGAGCCGTGGCAGAACTGAATGAGAAGACAGTGAACTAGGCAGGAGGTCTGAGAGAAATTACCTCACAGAATGATACACACAGACATTTAATATAAAAAGATATTAATGGGGATGTGAGTCAGATACAGAAGGTCTAACATACTGTAATAATAATTTTGAAAAGTGGGGGATACATGCTCAAGCTGACTTACCACAAACGGTAGAGTTAGAAACATACCAGGGGATTCCAAGTCAATCCCATCGAGGTGGCATGTACCAATGCCATCTCACTAGTCCCAGTGATCAATTTCTGTTCACAATTGATCATAATGATAGGACTAAGAACCAAAGGGAGCACATAAACAAGAATAGTGTCTGCAAATACTAGCTGATAGAAAAAAAAGGGAGAGAACGATACAACATGGGAAGTGAGATACACAGCAGACCCATAGAATGGCAGATGTCCTGAACAGCACTCTGGCCTCAGAATCAGCCCATAAGGCATTCAGATCTGGCTGAAAAGCCCATGAAAGTATTTCAGGCATGGAAAGCCAAGACACTCTGGGGAAAAAAAAAAAAAAACCTAAATGAAAGATCTCCACAAGTGAGATCCCAGCGGAAAGAATGGGTCATCAAAGAAGGAGGTACCTTTCTCTGAAGGGAGGAGAGAACTTCCACTTTGACCATGGCCTTGTCTAAATATGATCAGAGTCAGTGAACTCAGGAGGCTTCCATAGCCTTGGCAGCTCATGACAAGAGCCTAGGGTGATTACTGATGCCATAAACAAGAGTGTCAATTTGTTAAGTCAACAACAGGAGTCACTGTGCACTTACTCCTCATGTAGGATCTTTGTCCTTAGTGTGCTGTACATTGAGATTTAATGCTATAACTAGTACTCAAACAGTTTTTTTTCACTTTATGTTTCTGTGTGGGAGCAAATTGTTGAAATCTTTACTTAATGTATGCTAAACTGATCTTCTGTATATAAAGAGAATCGAAAATGAATCTTGATGTGAATGGAAGGGGAGAGGGAGTGGGAAAGGGGAGGGTTGCGGGTGGGAAGGACGTTATGGGGGGGAAGCCATTGTAACCCATAAGCTGTACTTTGGAAATTTATATTCATTAAATAAAAGTTAAAAAAAATTATCAAAAAAAAGTGGGGGATTGGAAATATACAAAAAATTGAGTAAATATATTCCAGAACTGAAAAAGATATTAAGTACTCATATCATATAATTAAAGTTTGAATGTAAACAAATGGAAAAGCTATGTGAGGAATTTACTAGTCAAAGGAAAGGTGTTATAGCAATGCTAACATCAGAAAATATAGACTTTCAGGCAAAAAGCAGTGACACAATAAAAGATGAACTTTTTAATGATGAAAAGATTGATTCATCGGGGAGATATAAAAACCATTCTAAACTTTACCTAGTAGTAGAGCCTCAAATTGTTAAATATGAAATACAACAGGATTATAAGGAGAAAGGTATATCCCCAGAATAATGTTAGGAAGTTCAAAAATTGTGGATCTGTTCTAAAAATTAGGAGAACTGTAGATTAAAAAAGTTTAACTGATTTGATCTGTTGGCCATATATATGAGTATAGAATTGCAACTCAATGAAAAGGAATAGTTTTAGCAAACCAAATAACTGATATCATACAAATTAATTTTTCTGACTGTGATAGGATATTTTCTAGAAAATAAATTTAGAAATTTCTTTTTCTAAGTATTCTATTTCTAAGAAAACAACACTCGAATTTTAAAAAGCAATGAAAATATACCTCGGCAATTATTAAGCAAAGCGAAACACATCTCCTCCTCCCTCTCTCCATCCCTACCTACCTACCTACCTACCTCCTACCTATCTATCCATTCATCATCAGAACTTGTAGGGTGGCATTAAAAAGGAATTTAAAGAAAGGTATACAAATGTAAAAGGGTGTTATGGAAAACGAAATTGAACAGTTATATACCTGTGGTTTGGCCCCAGCCCACCTCCCTTCAGGCCTCTCCCTTGGCCTTTTGCACTCCATTGCAAGGTTCTAATTACTTTATCGGAGTCCATGAAATGTACCCCAGGTCTCAGAACATACACGCATCTCCAATGTCTTCAGAAAGAAAGGCCCGGGGCTGGGGTTGTGGTGCAGTGGGCTAAGTCCCTGCCTGTGATGCTGGCATCCCTTAGGATCTCTGGATGGAGTCCCGGCTGCTTCACTTCTGATCCAGCTCCCTGCTAATGCACCCGGGAACCCAGCTGAAGATGGTCCAAGTGCTTGGGCCCCTGCCACTCACATTGGAGATCCACATGGAGTTCTAGGCCCCTGGCTTCACGCTGGCACAGCCCCAGCCGTTGCAGACATCTGGGGAGTGAACCAGTGGATGGAAGACTCTATGTGTGTGTGTGTGTGTGTCTGACCCTCTCTCTCCATAACTCCTCTGCCTTTCAAGTAAATAAATAAATCTTTTTTAAAAAGGGCAGGCCTACATCTCTAGCTTCAGAATGATAAACTTTGTTTCTTTTCCTAATCCAAGTTCAAAGTGTTATCCCTGCCCCTTGAAATGCAGCCTCCCAGTGCTAGGTTCTCTCTATGATTATGAAAGGGCAGCAATCCAGATTTCTAGTAGCTAGTGGGAACTTCCCAAACCCCTTTCAGAAAGAAGAGTGATCTCAGGAAACAATTAACACCATTTCTTTCTTCTTATTTCAATTTTCTGTCAGTATCATACAGAGAAATTCAAAGCACAATCTTGTTTAGTGAAACTTGGCATAAATAGTTTCCAAGCAGTTGATCTTTTAATCTTGTTTGTGAGTAGCACTTTCGGTTTATACTCACTCTGCCATAGCTCCCGGAAATATGTTCTTTTTGGCTTGATAATTGATAAATGGGTGAAGAACATTAAGATCATCTAAAATTGGCTTTATATACTAAAAAAAATAAAATAAAATAAAAAGAAGCGAGGGGGTTTGGAGCCACAGCAGCAGGTGAGGCACACCAAACTACTGAGGATCTTCACACACCACGCAGGAAGAGCTCCCCAAATCACAGAGCTTGCAACTGGGGCTGACGCCAGAGGGGCTACTTCACCCCGAAACGAGCTTTGGGCCCTCCCTTCCTGACTTGAGAATTCCGTGTTTTTCCCGTATAGGCACTGAAAGCACATGCGCACAATCAATCTGTCACTCTGCGGCTGGGGTGAGGATGGGGGGTGTCTGGCACAGGTCACGGTCATGTGTCCAGGCCTCCATTCTCATTTTCCTGCCTCTCCTGTCAATGGCCCATCCCACTCCCCAGGGCACTGTGAACCCAGAACAGGCAGCCGAGGCCACTTGTCTCACCCAGACTTTTTCCTGTGGAAGTTACTCAGCAAACTCCTACCTCGATCATCTTAATGGAAGATACAAATTTATATAACTTAGGCGTGAGCCTAACTATTCTCTTGTATGTCATATTCCTCACTTGCCATTTTAGGCTAGCTTCTCTGTAGGTCACACCATCTCTCTTCTTGAAAACCTCTGTATGTTCCTATCTCAGAGTCAAAGTCAAAGACTGAAAATGCCCCTGTCCAGGCCTTAAGTCACCTTGCACCTGTCACTTCTCTGAGTTCACCCAAATTCCCAAAGGGTCTGCAACTGAGCCTGGCAGAGAGAAGACACCCGCTCCGCACATAATGACTGAAAGAATGAAAACTGAAGGTTAGTTTACCTTTAGAACATCGTTTTATGCTACTTTCATCCTTTGCATGTTAGTGAAAATTAGCAGGCTCTCTATTCTCCATCTCCTTACAGCCGCCCCTCCATCCCAAGCTCTCACACAAATGCCCGTGTTTAGTAATAGTTGAAGATAACAACCAGCAAGCACCTCAATGATCAATGACTTCTTAGGGGCTTTGGAAGTAGATATGACCGACATTTAGCATTTTCACATTGGGCTACCAGGGCCCACAGAGATAAAGGCAACTTTGTCTAAGTCCTACGGCTCCCAAATGCCGACTCTGACACCAGCGCATTGAACCCGCGGTGCAGCCTTTCTGGCAGTTAGGATCCCCAGCTTCTTCTCACCTCTTTATCCTGGACTCGTACTCGATCTTCTGTTTGGTCATCTCCTGTTTCAGGCTGGAGACTAAACTGTGCAGTGCACTGTGGTTGCCGGTGTTGTTCCCAACAAACGTCTCACTGTTGTCGCTGCTGCTGGTGGCGCGACTACTTCGGCCGCCCACGCTCCTCCGGTCACTTTTGCTTTCATAGTCCCCAGGGTGGGAAAGGTCGTCCTGCGGGGGCCCATCCAACACAGGATCCTCAAAGTTCCCACCGTAAAAGTCCTGCTCTGGGCAGGTGGTGGTGGAGGAGCGGCAGGAGTTGGAGTTCTCGGGGAGGGAGATGTCGCAGGAGGAGGTGGACCAGGTGGCACTGTCCACGCTCTGCTTGTCCTCCAGGTTCATCATGGAGAACTGCTGGTGGACGTTATCGTAGGTGGAGAGTCGGTTGTGCTGGCCAGACTCCCCGGCCGGCTCTTTCTGCTTGTTGTCCCTCAGGGTCACATAGCCATTGGGCAGCCAGCCCATGCTGCGTCCATTCACGGGGTTCCCGAGGGGGTCGTTGCTCAAAATGCCCATGCGCATGGTTCCATTCTGCACACTGTGGGTGCCCATTTTGGTACCGGACCCCTTCAGCGAAGAGGTCCTCCTAGCCTGCAGGCTCCCATTGGGGGTGGTTTGGGGCTTCTCCACCGCTTCTGGATTGCTGCTACTGAAAGACCCATTGGTGACGATGCCACTGCCTTTATTGAAGGCAGGGTTCTTTTTCACCATGAGAGGGGGGCTCCTGGAGACATCCAGCTTGTGGACGCTGTTCCTTGGGCTGTTGGTTTTGCTGCCGGATAGAGCTGTGGGAGATCCATTGTCCATGCTGCTTCTCTGGGGAGACTCGGGCTTGTCCCAGGAGCACTGCCGACTAGGGCTCTCCTTGGTGTTATTGTTCTCCTTGTTCTGCATATGGCCCGTGCTGGCTTTCTTCTGGATTTCGTTGTTGTTGCTGACTCCGTCCTGGGGCTTGCTCTGCAGTTCTGCATCCTTTGGGAAGAGGCGGTCGTGTTTGCTGATCATCATGGACATCAGCTGCTGGACCACCACAGTGCCTGCAATTGCAGAGAAAAAAGTAGTGTGAGAGAGACTTCTGATTTATTTTCTATATTGACTGTGGCTCTTCAAGGGACATAGTTAGGTAACTTTAAAAAAAAAAAAAAAAGAGTTGATTGGGTCGGCGCCGTGGCTCAACAGGCTAATCCTCCGCCTTGCGGCGCCAGCACACCGGGTTCTAGTCCCTGTCGGGCCGCCGGATTCTGTCCCGGTTGCCCCTCTTCCAGGCCAGCTCTCTGCTGTGGCCCGGGAGTGCAGTGGAGGATGGCCCAGGTCCTTGGGCCCTGCACCCCATGGGAGACCAGGAGAGGTACCTGGCTCCTGCCCTCGGATCAGCGTGGTGCGCCGGCCGCAGCGCACCGGCGGCGGCGGCCATTGGAGGGTGAACCAACGGCTAAAGGAAGACCTTTCTCTCTGTCTCTCTCTCTCTCATTGTCCACTCTGTCAAAAATTAAAATAATAATAAAACAGTTGATTTACCACGTTTCATGATATATCGACTGAAATCTCGCAGCATATCTTCAAATATGCTTCTTCAGTTGGTAAGCTGGGCTTCTCTCCCCTAAAACTGTCTCTAAAACCTAGGTGTATAGAGGCCGGCACTGTGGCACAGTGGGCTATGCCTCTGCCTGCAATGCCGACATCCCAGATGGGCATCCGTTTCTATCTGCCTGCTCCGCTTCCCATCCAGCTCACTGCTTATGGCCTGGGAATGCAGAGGATGGCCCAAGACCTTGATCCCCTGCACCCACACGGGAGACCTGTAAGAGGCTCCTGGCTCCTGGCTTTGGATCGGCTCAGCTCCAGCCTCTGTGGCCATTTGGAGAGTGAACCAGTGGATAGGAGACCTCTCTCTCTGCCTCTCTTTCTCTCTCTGTGTAACTCTTTCAATAACTAATAAAAGTAAAATCTTAAAAAAAAAATCCTAGGGATATAGATTACATTCCCACCTTTGGGCCCCCAATCCTCTAAGAACCTTATTCGGTATTAACTTTATAAATGTCTTCACAAATGTAGGCATTTTGTGTAGCAGTTAAGATGCTGCTTGGCATGTCCACATCCATATTGGAGTGCCTGGGCTTGAGTTCCAGACTGCTCCTGTTTCCAGCTTCCTGCTAATGTAGACCCTGGAAGGAACATTGATGGCTCAAGTTATCGGGTCCCTGCCACCTACATGGAAGACCTGGACGAGTCCCTGGCTCACAGCTAGGGCCCTGGCCTTGCCCTGGCCACTGTGGGTATTTGGGGAAGTGAACCAGCAGGTGGGAGAAGGCATGCAATCTCTTTCTGCCCACTCTGACTCTTTGGATTTCAAATAAGTAAATAAAAATGTCAATGTATACACAATAGGGGCCCGGAGCTGGGGGTGAGGGTGAGGCCATAGCCTTCAGTGCCGGCATCCCATGTGGGCGCTGGTTTGAGACCCAGCTGCTCCACTTCTAATCCAGCTCTCTGCTATGGCCTGGGAAAGCAGTAGAAGATGGCACAAGTCCCTTGGGCCCCTGCACCCCTAAGGGAGACCCAGAGGAAACTCCTTGTTCCTGGCTTTGGATCAGCCCAGCTCCGGCCATTGTAGAAATCTGGGGAGTGAACCAGCGGATGGAAGACCTCTTTCTCTATCTCTACCCCTCTCTTTGTAACTCTGCCTTTCAAATAAATAAAATAAATACTTAAGAAAATGGACACACAATAAAGCAGTATGGCCCAATTCAAACATCACCTATCTTTAACTTTAGCTTGAACTGTACCAATTGGCTATGTTAAATGTGTGCATAGAATGCTAATCCAAGTTCCTAAAGTAGTTTTTAACAAATAAATTTAGAGAAACAGCTTATATTTTAGTTAGTAATTGTAGTTTCTATACAAAATACTTAAAATATGAGATTTGGTGAGGAAAATGATGAAAAGGGCTTTTGTCAATGCCAACTTCTTCTGATACTAATGGGCAGGCTGTTGACCTGTGGCATGGCTATTCTTTAGCTTAAAGTAACACCTGGAAATATAATGCAAAATAAAATTTTGAACAGGGAAAACAAAAACATGCTGCATCCACCTACACTAACGACTTTGCTCTGTGATGATGCAAAACACACGTGTAGATCAAGTACCTGCAGGATGCCAGGTCTGTGGCTGCACCATTGTTTTCCATGTTCACCTAAAGTAAGGGATCCTGGTAAAATGCAAATTCTAACTCAGGAGGCACTGAGCGGGCGCAGGGAACACATTGTATTTTGCAGTTCTGCTGGCTTCAAGGAGACACGGAGAGTAACAGAGAAGTAGCACTGGCACCACAGGGAAGTTTCCGAATTCCAGAACCACCCCCCCCCCCCCCCCCCCGGCCTTCTGAATGAGAATCTGTAGCTTCATTATATCCCCAGGGGGATTCCTCTGCCTCTTGGAGCTTGAGAGACATTGAGGTAGATGGAAATGTTTCACTTGAATCTCTAAAATTAGGTTTCTCAAAGGTCGGTGGGATGAGAGTTAATATTTTTTTTCCAATGAGAAAACTGAGTTTCAGGGTGGTTAATAAGTGACCCAGGTGAATTTAATACTCAGTTTTCTTATTCCAAATTATGCATTTGCCTGTTATGTTCTGGCTTCTAGATTTAAAACTGAAGAAGCAGTAAGTAAACTTGGGTAGTTCTAAATAGAGAACGAAATAAAAGCACTCTTTTGAATCAGCATAAATTATTATATAGTCGTGGGAGACAAAAGATGGAATAAATGAATAGTAGGTCCATTCCTCCTTTTTCAGTAACCTCTGAATTTGTCATCTAATGTCAATGCTGTGAATCTGCTGAAAAGGTTAAAATGGGTGTCGACGCTGTCATTAATATGGATGGTGTTTGAAGACATTGTGTACCTAACGCTATGTTACTATTTGTCCATGTGACAGACGCATGTTCAAAGGTTTGCAGCTTCCATTGTGTATGACTCTGCCTAGCGTTTTTGGGAAGGTGGACTTTTTACCCATCACTGAACTATTCACATTCAAAGCTGCCTTGCTTCCAATCACAGTTATGCACTATGTGAGGCATTCAATTCATTGCCGTGAGATTCCCAATCTCCATGATGCGTTTGTGAACAGCTATGACAAAGCACAGTTACCGCAATCACAGAGCGTCAGGGCCTTACAGACCTAGAATTCTCTTTCTCATATGTTGGGAGGCTTTATTTCCTCCAGACCCTCGGATAACAACTGGCGATAGGCCGTGGATGATGAATTTTGATGGCCATTTAGGACAGACTAGGTTGGGAGTAATGATAATGATGTGTGTGTCACTGTAGGGATTATACTTTTCCTTTATTATATTCTCTTCTGTCATTTTCTTCTTTAGAAGGCCAATAGGGGAACATTAAGCCCAAATAAAGAGGTCAAAGTGGTTATAATCACCAGCCCATGCCATAGAGTCCACACAGAGTCTGCAGTCTCACTGTGCTATGTGATCCAGCAATTCCCCAATGGCCTGTATAATTTCACACAGGTGCAATTTAAATACCGGCACTTTTCTCATAATCATTTCCTTAGGAACTCAATCTTTCCTTTAAGGACATCTAGATAGCATTCAATGTAATATAGTTTTAATTTTCTTACACCAAATAACCTGTACATGTGTGATTTTGCATGTCTGAAGACTTTAAGATATTTGTGAGTTTTGATAAATACGCATAGTTCTGGTAACATCATGCAGTCATGACACAAAAAAGCTTCCTTGTGCTCCTTTGTAGTCTGTCAATCCCTTACCCTACCTCCTGCCCATGGCAACCACTGATGTGCTTTCTGTCATTATTGTAGTTTTGCCTTTTATAGAATTGTATGTAAATGGAATTAAACTGTGTATAGTCTTTCATGTAAAGGCATTTATCATTTAGCTTAATATTTTTGATACATATAGTATTCTTGACATATATCAGTATTATTGCTGACTTGCATTCCATGCTATAGATGTGCCACAACTGTTTATTTATTCATTAGTTGATAGAGAATTAGCCTGTTTTCAGTATGAAGCTATTGTAAATAAAGTTGATATGAATATCTGTCTACAAGTTTCACATGAACTTTTTTTTTTTTGGTAAATATTTAGTTCAGGGCTCTATACGGTCTTATGACTGGTGTACATTTAAGTTTATAAGAACCTGCCTAAATGCAAATTGGCTCTAACAATTTGTGTTTCTACCAGCAGCAAACTTGATATTTTTGGTATTCATTTTATACTTTGTAGGAGGTATATAGTGGTATCTGTTTATTTTTTATTTTATTTTTTGGTGGGGGCGATGTTTTATCTTGAAGCACAGGGCTGTCAGTGACGGATTTGCTGAGTTTTGTTTTCTTCCTGAAAATGTCTTCAACCTCTCTTTATTTTGAAAGATAATTAAATATATTTAGAAACCTGGCTTGATAGTTTAAAAAAATTTAAAGGTTTTGATCTGTATTTTGGCTTACATACTTCCCTAATGAGAAATCTGCTGTAACTCTTCTCTTTGATCCTCTGTATGTAATGTGTCTTTTGACTGTCAGACCACTTCTAACTTTTTCTTTTTATCTCTGGTTCTCATCATTTTGATTATGACGTCTTTTGTGTGGTTTCCTTTATGTTTGTTCTGCTTAGTATATTTTGAATTTCTGAAATCTCTGTGTTTGTAATTTTCGCCAATTTTTGGGGAAAAATCAGCATTTTGTCTCTTCACTTCATGTTTGACAGTTTCTCTTTTTATTTATAGGTCTTTATATGTCTGTTTATTCTTTTTTTCTTTTTTTTTTTTTTGATAGGCAGAGTGGACAGTGAGAGAGAGAGACAGAGAGAAAGGTCTTCCTTTTGCCATTGGTTCACCCTCCAATGGTGTCTATTTATTCTTTATATGTCTTTTCCAATGTGTATTCTGTTATTAATCCCATCAGCATCATATTCACTTTAGCTATGATTTTAATCTTCAGAAATTCTATTTGGATTTTTAAAATATCTTTTCTTTCTCTCTTCATTATATTGATGTTTTCCTC